GCTGCTGCCCGTGCGCGCCGGGCCCGCCTCGCATTCCCCCACTCGGCGGCGGGCCTGCGCCTCCGTCAGGCCGCGCGGGGAGCGGCGGCGAGTCCCGGCGAGGGGCCGCCCCCGCCCGCCCCGAGGGCTGGGCTCCGCCGGAAGAAACCCGGCAAACTTCGGGCCAACTCGCTGTCTCCCCACCGCGGCCTGGGCTCGCTTCCCCGCCGGGGTGAGGGGGTGGGGGTGGGGTTGACTCCGCAAACACCGCCAGCCTTGTAACCGTACTGGAGGAGCCAAGTGCACTCGCGGAAGGGGGCGAGTAGGCTTGCGGCAACTGTCACTCTTAAATAGCTTTCTTAAAAACGAAGGTAGGTGACAAATCTAGGGAAACAAATTGCATACGACTTCATGAGGCCCAAACCTAGATGCTGGCTACTTGTATCAGAGACCAGATTTGCAGCTGACAGTAAGTTCTTTCCCCGGCACCGAGTCCATTCGCTCTGGGCTAAAGGTGAAAATGCCCCTTGGAAATCAAAAGTAGCGGGAGCAGTAGTAACAGCCGGAAGGGACGCGTGAAGCTCTAGTCCCCGACACTGCAAAAGGCACTGCAAAAAGATCAGGAATAGCTTCATCTTGATGTTTCCTCCCGATTGGACTCTCCAGACGTGAACAAGACGACCAAGAGGGCACTGGGTGAAATTTAAAATCGTCAAGTGTGTATTTAGATTGAGCAGGAATGGCCTTATGTGCCAAGACCTGAAGTAATGGAATTAAATGGGGCACAGCTAAAACCTAGCTTACCTATCACCAAGTATCACTTTCTGTGGGTGAAAGGCGCGCTCTTCCTGGAAGAGCAAGTGCTAAAATTAAAGCAGTCCCAGACTGTTCTGATAGTCAGAGCAAAACCACCACAGGCTGCTCATCCCTGTGGTGACTGTCAGAATTGGAGAGGAGGCCAGGAAAGCCGTCATTATGCAACTCTCAAATTACCTGTCTTACGATCTTAGGACGATTGCTCTGAGACCAGTGAAGGTGTCCCAACAAATACAAAACCCTCACCTTCTTCCCTCCACCAAGAGGTGCCTTAAGTCCCACTAAGAAAGGTTTTCCGAGCATACGGAGATCTCCAGAGTCAGGCTCTTTGCCTGTCCACCACCCCGAATTGAGCCCCTGGATGATACCATTGTAACCTTGCCATGAATGCACTCAAAACTTGCAGGCCTTAACCCCATCAAAAAGCAGATCTCACAGTAACCCGGTAGGAATAAATACACTAATATCACAATGCAGTTCATATCCACAAATATTTATTAGAGTGCCTGTATGCAAGAATGAAGACATGATGGTCCCTGCTCTGACAGAGCTTACAATTCCATGACTCCCATACTTGCCTAGATTTAAAAACAACTGCAGCAAGCACTTGTCTTTGCCTAACCATCAGCAGCACTGCAGGAAGCAAGTGTTTCACATTATATTTGGTCACTGTTACAGTGCAATGGTGAATAAGACAATTAACTTTGAAGTCTGTAGTCACAGCGATGACATGGTATATCATGTCCAGCAAATGCAAATTTATGGCTTGATTCCTCCTATCTGAGAGGCATCTATTGAAATAAAACATAAATCGGAAGGAGAAAGCTTTGTAACACAGGTCCTAATAGTGGTGTAGTTTAATCTATTACCAAACTGCCGCAGAACTCTTGGCAAAAAATTATCTCCTGCAGAATGTGTGCAATATAATTGGTTTAATCAGACCTGTACATCTCATGACCACACACACTCTCATGACGGGTAAACATGATTTACCTGTAGGATTCTTAAAGGGTGCTAGGTATGCACTTATTTTTTAAAGCTTCTTAAAGCCTCACAGCACAAGTGGCACATTAAAATGTAATGAAAATTGCTTTTGAGATAAAAATTAGAATGACAAAAATGTCTAATTTTACTACATATGTAATAAGTGCAGAATTCAAATTTAAATAGCATTCAGCAAAGTACCTGGCTTTTCAGAGTTAAGAAGGGGAACACAGTTCGGTTGTTCGTCAAACTCTAAAAACAATCCTCATCTTTATATACGGCTCTTCTGATGCTCAGTGCTGGCCTTCCTGTGGTCCTACCTTACAGGCCCCCATAGTGGAGGTCTAGTTATGGAACATTCAAAGGAGCCATTATTTTGGTTACGTGGCCACTTTTTTTTTTTTTTTTAAGGAAAATAGCCTGTATTTACATCAAATAACCCTCCCCCATCACCTATTAAAGATGCTTCTGAACTTCTACCCAACAGGTTACCAGTTTTAATAGTCACTTAAAAAACAAACACCTCTCACCAGGAAGAGGATCATTTGAACTCCAAGAAATCTCATTTTTCTTGCAAAAAAGTGGAGAGATCATCTTAGACCACCTAACAGAAATGTCAACCAACCCAAGGTCATTCTTAAGTCAACTGCTGGTGGCACAACCTACTTTTCTATTTAAAAAGTCCTAAATCACTACTTCAAACACCTAATTAACTCAATGAATCTGAAATGTGTACTTTTGTTGAAAAGTTACTAAGCACCAGGTACTTTACATAATCTCCTTTAAAATGGAAGGAAGCTTCTTATCGCTTCATCTTATCTCTTGCTGCTGAGGCGGGCAGGCCTGAGCCTGGTGGTGACCGAGGTCCGCCTGGCTCTCCCTACCCCCCACAGCAGCTCTGCCCTTAGCCACCCCTACAGCATCAGTCGGCGTCGGCGGGACCGCGTACTGTGCCTCAGGGCTCCTGAAAGGAGAGTAAGTGGGCAGAACCAAGGGAAAAGAGAGAGCAAACTCTATTTGCATTGAAATAATCCTAAAGTGGAAGGTGCACTCAGGTTGTTACTCCCCAGCAGCTCAGCCCCAGCAGGACACCAAGTGGTTCACCTCCCAGGGACACCGGCTACTTTCTGACATCGCCACCTTTGGGGTTGAGTTGTTTTTAAGCCGAGCGTTCTATGTTTGTAAATTAAGCACAAAAAAGGGAAAGATGGCTCAAAGGATTTTCCTTGGTTCTCCTCTTCAAAGCTATGAAGAAAAAGGTTTTTTTAATGTTTAAGTAAGTGACTGCTACTACCAATCTATGATACGTTTCAAGAATCAAAGCATATGTCTTCTGAGAGGCACAGAGGAGGTTTTGATGGGGTTTCCAATCTTGGAATGAGCCAATAGAGACTACTAAGAAGATAACTCCTTCACAAGATAAAACTATCTCTTCTGAAATGGCAATTTCCTATTCTTGAGAAGGACTTCCTGCTAGATGGAGAGAACAATGAATATCCTAGTAATTTTCAAGTTAGATTTTAATGTCACGTATAGGAACACAAAGGGAATACCATCAGTAAAGTCAATCCCTTTACTAGGTCTTGACAGCTGTACTGGAGCTTGATTAAAATTAACTTATTCTTTACTATAACTAGTTGACTTTAAAAAAAAAAAGGCTAGAAAAAAATACTACGAATAAAGGCACTTACTCTGTTGCTGAATAATTGTGATTAGCCCAAGGTGCTCAACTGGTGGCAGGAGTCAGGAGCAAAGGTTCAACTCAGGGATAGGAACAGGAGAGTCAGGTATCAGATGGCCCCTCCCTATGGAGGACCCCTCTCCCCCAGCAAAGCTGAGAAGGGAGCACCACTGGGGCAGCAGGCCTGGAGCTCAGCCAGGTAAGCTTTGGTGAAGGTGCTCAAAGATAGTTTGAGATCCCTGCTCAAAGGCATACACAGACCCTAGTGGAGTGATGGTTGGCTTGGCTCATTAGAACTACAAGCTACTAAGAGCCACATAAGAAGAAAAAGTTCAAAAGAAAACCAAACTTTAAAACCTGAGCATTATCAGTGGGAATAAATATTGAAAGTTCAGAATGCGTCTATTTATGACCGTGTACAGGAATATGTGGGCACTGGATTCCGACGAGCCACCGAAAAGTGGGCAGTGGAGCAGCCCAGGCTTGACCAGCAGTCAGAACATATACCTGCTAGTGCTGCTGATCAGGGCACAGCCTCCTGCCCACGTGCCACTGCCAAGGCCAGGAGCTGGAGCCCTCCAGCAAGGCCAAAGGCCCAAGGCTCCATCTACACACATCCCGTGTCTGTGAACAAGCAGGGGCGGGTGCTCTAATCCAAACCTAGCATTCTTACAGCACCTGCTATGGCAGGAGGTTTTTTTGGCAGGGGAGGAGGAGTGCAGTGGGGTTAAACACATCTGCATGGTGACTGACGGCTGAAGCCATGTACCCGGAGGAAACCACCTCACTGGGTGGTGGTCTGTCTTCCATCAAAGCTTCATCCACCAACTTATGGCCACAGCAGGGACACAGTTCCACTCGGAATGCTGGGCGCAAAGCTACAGCTCCCCAACTGCTTACCGTTTTCTGAAAAGTACTACATATATGACATTAGAGAATTACAACTCTCATTTTTCCTTCCTTACAGACAATAAAGTTCAAGGGAAACAAAAGGAGTTATTCATAGTTTCCAAAGCTTTCCAATATTCCATTATTTCCAATATTTCCATTATTACTATTCTAATATTCACTCTAAGACATGTTCCTAACAGGAACTGCATTACCATTAAAAAAAAAAAAAAAATCCCAACACAACTAAATTCCAGGGTATGTTGCATTTTTTTTTTTTGCATTCAGCATGTATTAGTCTATTATTATAGAAGCTATTCTTAAGCATTTATTTAAAAAAAGAATCATATTCACAATGTAGAACAAGTATAAAATTAGTGTGCAAAGTTAACTGTAAAAGGATAACACTATTTGTTTAGAAACAAGCTGCCTCCCCTGTTTACATTTCCTTACTATTGATATAAACTGGAGACTTATACTATTTAAAAATAATACTTTTTAAATAGTAAAATATACAAGAGATTCCTGAGCATAACAAAAATATCTTGAAAATATGTGGCCATTTGAAGTATAAAACAGTAAGTGTAAAGAATAGCATGATTGTAAAACTACTATCTGAAGGCTTATAAACAGTACAAAAGTTTGCCTTTTCTGAGTACATAATTATATGTTAGTGCAAACAAAAACGTCTCAAAATTTAATGGCTACAAATCTCAGAGATTTGCAGAGGTGCGCAAAACATGAAATTTCTTTAATGTCATTCGAACTGAGCCCAGTTCTCGATTAATCCTTTCCAAACGATCTTCCAAGGCTTCCTAAGGGAGAATAACAGGAAAAGTTTTGTTAGAATTCTGCATCGGGTTCACTGGTTCTATAATTACCACCAAATTGACCTTTCTTTTAGCAAAGGAGCAGGTAGAAACATTCAAATTACAGAGTTGTTTTTTTTTTTTTAACACAAATCATCTTATTTATATTATTTCTTTAAACAATGCAAATCAATGTTTCAACCATTCAAAACAAATGCTGCACCTCAGCACCTTAACACATCCTCAGCACCAGGGTGCTACTCGGAGGATGCGGAAATCTCAGCAAGAGCGAGACTGAGCAAGGAGGTGATTCTCGGATTCTGCTGAACTGAGGACAGAACGAGAGGAGCCCAAAGGTACTTCACACATGTCACTGAAGAAATGGATCGGTGCCTTATCCCACTCAGGCGTATGTCAAACAACTTTCTGACAAGAATTTCTAAGTTAAAAAGGAGGGAACACGCTGGAGAGTTTCTTCCAAGAAACGAGATTTCACAAAGAATCAATGTAACAACTGCTATTTTTAAATAAGCAGTACTATTGTTAAATAAAGAGAGCCTGGAATATAAATTTATCATTTTAGGTACTTTACTCAGTCTTAACTCCAATGGTATCCTGAAATAAAACTTAAAAATTCCTCTTTAACAACTTTAATTATAAAAGGATCACATAAGGTGCGCCTGGGTGGCTCAGTCGGTTAAGTGGCTGCCTTCAGCTCAGGTCATGATCCTGGAGTCCCTGGATGGAGTCCCAAGCTGGGCTCCCTGCTCAGCAGGGAGTCTGCTTCTTCCTCTCTCTGCCCCAACCCTGGCTCCTGCTCTCTCTCACTCGCTCACTCTCTCTCAAATAAAATCTCAAAAAAAAAATTTTTTTTAAATAAAAAAATAAAAGGATCACACGTTCATGATAAAATATTTAGAAGACAGAGGAGTAAAAAATAACCAGTTCCTCTTTCTTGGGTTTTTTCTGTAGATATCCACATCGTTAAGAAGAAAAATAAAAACAATCAAATTCTCTACTTCAAAACATTTTTCAGCTGAACTTTTGTTATGAAATATCTTTCTGTGATATCATTTTAAATTAATTTGCAGTATTCCATTAGATTTAACCAAGACTCTTTTAGCAGAAATTTATGTTGCTTCTAATGTTGGATACCATAAATATTGCTGCAATAAATATTTTTAAAAAGATTTCTTTGCACACATCTGTAAATATTGCCTTAAGAATCATTCCCCCAAGTAAAAATGCTAGGTCCGAAGAGATACAAAAATCTAAAGCTTCAGAGAGAGGTCAAACTATATTCCAGAAAGTTTGTGACAATTTCTACTTCCACCTGCCATGTATGAGAATATGCTTTTCTACATCCTGGGTACTGTTTTGTTTTGCGTGTGTGTGTATTTAAATACCTGCCTATGTAAGTTTTTTTTTTTTTTTTTAATGATGCTTTTGGGGGTGTCTGGGTGGCTTATTTGGTTGAGTGTCTGGCTCTTGGTTTCAGCTCAGGTCATGATCTCATGGGTCATGAGATCGAGCCCTGGGTCAGCCTCTGCGTTCAGTGGAGAGTGTCTGCTTGAGATTCTCTCCCTCTGGCCCCTCCCCTGGCTAGTGCATGCATGCTTTCCCTCTAAAATAAATAAATAAATCTTTAAAAAAAAAATGCTGCTTTGGGGCGCCTGGGTGGCTCAGTCATTAAGCATCTGCCTTAGGCTTGGGTCATGATCCCAGGATTCTGGGATCGAGCCCTGCATTGGGCTCCCTGCTCAGCGGGGAGCCTGCTTCTCCCTCTCCCACTCCCCCTGCTTGTGTTCCCTCTCTCGCTCTGTCTCCCTCTCCTCTGTCAAATAAATAAAATCTTAAAAAAAAAAAAAAGCGTATGCCTAGTTAAGCGACCGCCTTCAGCTCAGGTCATGCTCAGCAGGGGAGTCTGCTTCTCCCTCTTCCCCATCCCATCCCCAAACTCATGCTCTTTCTCTCTCTCTCTCTCAAATGAATAAAATCTTTTTTAAAAAAAGATGCTTTTGGGGCACCTGGGTGGCTCAGACGTTAAGCGTCTGCCTTTGGCTCGGGTCATGATCCAGGGTCCTGGGATGGAGCCCCGCATTGGGCTCCCTGCTCTGTGGGAAGCCTACTTCTCCCTCTCCCACTCCCCCTGCTTGTGTTCCCTCTCTCACGCTGTCTCTGTCAAATAAATAAATAAAATCTTTAATAAATAAATAAATAAAGATGCTTTTGTTCAAATACGTAGTTTTTTACTCATTGGTGAGGCTGAATATTTTTCATCTTTTTCTTGCCCAATTTTACTTTTTTCACTTACGAATCATATTTAAGGATCTTCAGTCCCTTTCTGCTGTCACTGGTCTCCTTAATGGAAGAAAGAGCTTTGACACGTATGAACAGGCTCTACTCCCTTTTAAGTTATTTTAAAAGTGTACAATCATTATATAAAAAATATATATATAACAAATGTTTCAGATGAATTTAGAATCAGAGTAGCCACAAGTTTTCCTTCTGCCTTCCCAATAAGGAAGAAGAGTTTCATGTGTTGAGTCTTATAAATTATCGAGCAAAGACTTTTGGAACAACAAAAACAGTAAGAGACTTAAAGTCTCAAGGAGAAGTTAGGCATACAGGCCCAAGGAAAGACCTCTGCTGTTTTCTTTGCTTTTTTTTTTTCCTTCTGGTATCACAGATCAATCTGAAAATGAATTTTTCCTGAAGTTAAAGCACTGAAAAGCCAAAATGTGCAGTTATGAGACCTATCCTTGTCGTTATGCTTAAAATGTTACACAAAGAGCAGATTTTAAATGTCCCATGGTTTCATGCATTTTGATTCTCTCTGGAAAGCAACCTAAAGAAAAGCCCATGAGCCGCTTCGCCTGCACCATCTCCTGCTCAATAATGGAATCACATCTCTCTCTCTCTTTTTTAAATATTTTATTTATTTCTTTGAGAGAGAGTGTGAGCGAGAGCAAGAACTGGGGAAGGAGCAGAAGCAGAGGGAGAAGCAGGCTCCCCGTAGAGCAGGGAGCCCTATGCGGGGCTCAATCCCAGGACCCTGGGATCATGACCTGAGCTGGAGGCAGTCGCTTAACCAACTGAGCCACCCAGGCGCCCCCATCTCTCTTTTTAACCTCTACAGCTACTCCAGTTGCAAAGCCAACTGTTTTACATATTTACTAAATGGAAAGGGGCTGAGAAATAAATTAGAGACTGGGGAGGAAGAAACAAACACAAAAAGGGACATTTAATGTGAGAGGATTGATTTAACATAAAATCTGTTCAAAGGCATATTGTGTAGTGGCATGAACGTCTTTTTCCTGAAGCATAAAGGAAAAATCACTTTTTGTTCCTGAAAGCCAGCACGGAGTTCTAAAATATACTATACTGCTTCTCCCTCTCCCACTCCCCCTGCTTGTGTTCCTTCTCTAGCTGTGTCTCTGTCAAATAAATAAATAAAACCTTTAAAAAAAAAAAAAAGGGCGCCTGGGTGGCTCAGTCATTAAGCGTCTGCCTTCGGCTCAGGTCATGATCCCAGGGTCCTGGGATCGAGCCCTGCATCAGGCACCCTGCTCCGCGGGAGGCCTGCTTCTCCCTCTCCCACTCCCCCTGCTTGTGTTCCTTCTCTTCTCTGTCAAATAAATAAATAAAACCTTAAAAAAAAAAATAAAATAAAATATACTATAATCACCAAACACTTCCTAAAAGGCTGAAAGTTTAGCCCAGTTGTTTCAGGGTGCCTAACACATCATTTTGTATAATGGAACACCAGCCGGCACCACGCCTCCAACACACATTCAAGCTGAGACGGTTCACCTGGTTTAATCTTGTCTGCAGAGTGATTCGTCCTCCAGTAGAAGGCATTCGACTTAGTGCTGCCTCAATCTGTTAACACACAAAACAAACTTAAATAAAAACAGAAGAATTCTGACGCATGGCAGGGATGTCTGTAGCAGAATGGAAAGGACAGGCTTCAGCCTAGTACGTTCTCGTGCGCCTCGCCTTCACCTAAGCGCCCTGTCGTGCTCACCAAGGACAGCTCAGCTCAAACGCGTCCCTAGCGCAGCTCTGGTGTGCGAGCCACAGTAACTTCCTGGCATGGTCTGACTCCTTAATTCCCTTCTGACTAGTCCTCAGACATAAGCATTAAGTTCAGAAAAACATTTTTTTTTTTTTTTTAAGTTTTTGTTTGTTTTTACCTGGTCTTTTTCTTTTGTAAGTTCATCAAAAAACCGTTCCGTTTCAGCTAGGGTCCTAATTTTTGCTGTATACTCAAAATCATTACCATGTGGTGCTGCTGACGCGGGCTTACACTGCTCATAGCTAACTGATTTATTCTTCTCCCAGGCTGATCTCACAGACACTTTCTTCGCTCCATTTGGCAACAGTTCGGGAGAAGAGCTATGATTAGCATGGATGTCGGTGGCTGTTTCTGAGTATTTTTTTTCTGTCAGAGAGAAAAGAAATTTCTCTTATTTCTTATCAGTTTTCGTGATCGATCACATACACAACTATATATGTTATCTGACTTCACTTTCTGGAAAGGACTGCCACATACCAAAAAACATAATGAAAAGAGACACAATAATCAATCATATTTACTCAGTGCTTTTTCTCCACAGAATTCTGAAAGTTTTGCTCTCAGTTTGACAACCTGCACACCTTCCCTAAGTGAAGGTATGTAAACTTTCTGTAAACTTAAAAGACCTTTAAGTAAACTTAAAGAAAAAAAAAAAAAGTTAAGCACTAAACACACACATTTAGTGGACACAAACCCACACCAACAGTGCAGAGCGAGCATCTTACGGGGCCTGCCCAAGTGACTCACATGCATTATCTTGTAACTTTATTCCAAACTTAAAAAGATAAATGAGAAAAAAGAAAAAAAAAAAATCACCCGATGCCTAAGTTGCACAGAAATTAGTAAAGAGAGAAACTGAACGGTATGGCTCTGGTTTAAGTAAGCATTAACACTGTCTGTACCTCAGTTTCCCAACTTTTCAATGAGGATAACAGCACTGACACATAATATGAGCATCACAAATGCTTATTCTTAGAGGCCCTTGTGCAGAGAAATTATTTAAGGGCAGGATATTACACTATTCAGGACCTTGAAAAGATACGAGAAATTCACAAAATGACTAAAACCATAGCTAACAATTTTTTAGGAAAAGATACCTTCTGAGTCATCTAGAGGAAGAAACTGGAGTTGTTTTCTTGGATTGGTACGTTGTAATGCAGACACAGGAACAGTATCTAAATCATCCAAAAGTATATCAAATCTATTGAATGAAGCAAGTTATTTGTGAGAAAAAAATGTTAACTGATTTTTCCTATCTCCACTAGAAAGATGAGCTGGCATCCAGTTAACTCACATAGTCACGTATTTTTTAAAAAGAAAGATGGTCATATAATTTTCTAAAACTGAAGTTTAATTTATATTTTCAGACACAAAATTATATTTATATATGAGAGACTTAAAGCATTTACCCATACATTATCTCCTTCAATCTTTATAACAACCTTATAATATATGCAGGGCAGGTGTTATTATCCCTGTTTTATAGAAGAGGAAACCTGAGGTTCAACGAGCTTAAGAAATTTCTCAAGAGCCTGATGGAGCCAGGTCACCAGCTCTTCCATAGTAGGCGTGCACGGCTCCCCACAGGGGCACACACTGCTGACCACACTTCAGAGAGAGGACAATTGTCTCAGGCACCCAGGGGAACTTACGTGTATTGCCAGGGCCATCCCAGGACAGCCCATTTTCTTGTACAAATGGCTCAAAAACTGCCCTGTATCATAAACCTTTTCAGGAAAACAAAGAATTATCATTCTATATCCAAAAGCTGGAAGGGATTCTGAGGCAGTATTTAAATTCAGTAGTAGCCAGTATCCACAGTTAAAACTGTCTTCATGGATTATAGTATTTTTTTATCTTTAATATGACATTCATTTAAATGATTTAAATCCAAAGGGTTCCCACTGGCAACTGAAAAATTAGTGATAGCTACAGGCATAATGCTGACACTTAAAAAAAAAAAGTCAATAATAAAATATTTTATTCTACTTTTAGAGAACTTACCGAGTTGGACTGCTTTCATTTTTGCTCAGTAGATGACTAAATCCTGGGGACAAATTTTCTTTAGGGGATCGCTTTGGACTATAAGCCACAGTCACTGGTGTTAACATAATCTCTCTTTTTGCTACAGAAGAAAATGAAGAGGAAATATTCTCTTCCTTCAATATAATACATATATTGGCAGAACATACTTTCTTTTTCAGTACTTTTTTCTAACTTTAATGGAATACAATTTTATTATAAAACTTTTTGAAAGATAAATAAGAGCATACAAAATAAAAATTCATAATCCTAACACCTAGAGGGAACCACTGTCAACATTTTAGTGTATCAGACTGCAGTGTCAGCACTCAGACTCAAAACTGGTTTTTCAGGATTTTAGAAGTGGACTGGAAATAAATGGAAACACCAGCGCACATTCCTGTCACACAGGGACACACGAACACCAGCACACATTCCTGTTACATGGGGACACACAAATATCTTCAGCTGTTCTGAAAATGGAAATCGAGAAAACAGAAATCCAATGCTTAACCTTTAAAACCATAACTGTAATTGACTAAAGAAACCAGAGGTAACTATATGAAAAGAAGTATATTTTTTCCAGGCTAGCTTAAATTAATTTGTTTGAACTAATGTTTAATTAGATAGTTGTCAATGCTCTCAAAAACTGTGAAATGATATGAGTTGCAAAAAGAAATTTGCTGAACACACACAAAAATCTCATTTGAATATACTGTGATAAAATTTCTTCACCTATAGTCATAGTTATCTGTGCAGTCAGGTGATATTATTGAACAAGATCTTATTTAGGAACCTTGTGCTCAGAGTACTCTAGTAGGTGCTAGAGAACATAAGGGAAACAGAAAACATCAGGCATGTGTGACAGCTCGGATACCACTCTTTTGAGCCCAGGAGACATACACATCTAACTCTTACTTGGAGTACTTGATTTACGAGTTGAAGGTGGTAAAGATGAGGATCTCTGTGAAGCAGAATTAAACCTCCTCTGTCTTTGTTGGGCACATTTCTCTGGGGACCGACTTGCACTGACTGACATTTCAGTTTGCCGAGGATTCGCTAATTCTGTAACAGACAAATGGTTAAAAAGTAAACAAAACAAACCTAGCTCTGGTTACCTGCCTTTATTAACAGATGATTACGCCAAGCAAGCAATTCTCACTATCCAGGTTAGAATGATTATTTGCAAATACACGTTATAAGGATTAAAAAAATGCTTGATGAAGAAAAATGTGGGAGTTTATAACGAATTCATTCTGGCTTCCTGTTTACAATTGCCATTCAAGGTGATTTTTCAAGAGAGATTATTCTTAGAAAGCAAGTCACTAATTTATTTACTAGGAGATACTGCTTTGGAGATGCAATGCCCAAGATGTGAACAATGTAATCAGCAGGCCCGATCAAGTGAGCACTGGAGTGAGTACAAGGAGATGCAAGTACTGTTGACCTGTGCTTGTGAGAAAAATGGTATTCAAGATACTTCTTGGGGCACCCGGCTGGCTCAGTTGGAAGAGCATGTGACTCTTGATCTCGGGGTTGTGAGTTCGAGCCCCACGTTGGGTGTAGAGATTATTTAAAAATAAAAAATACAAAAATCTTTAAAAAAAAAAAAAAAGATACTTCTTATCCTACTGAGAGATGCTCAGTAACCAAGAAAGGGAGAGTAGAAAACGTTACATCTCACTTTATGAATACCAAATGTCTATTGTAACTTTCCAAGGAAAAACTGATGTAGATATATTCCAAATATCTTTAAGAATGCTGCATAAATCTTTACTAATCAGAACGTAACATGTGGTCTGCTTTGTATAAAACATGCAAGTTATGCCATGACTGTGATAAATTATGAGCCGGGGGATTTAAGGAAGGTGATATAATTGGGGATGAAGGGGAAAGTATAATCTATCTATATCAAACAAGGGAAAAATGCTTACTATTTGAGGTGTCCTCTTTCTCTGTCTGTGTGCCCCAATTTTTAAATATTTTTCCTTCATCGAGTTCTTTTAAAGCTTTCATGATTGGTGTATCTGAAGTCTCTCTTTGTTTTTTTATCAATAAGCTTCTTGGTGAACTTTCAGATGAAGAATCCTTTTCCGGAGGAGAATGGTACCTTAAATAAGAATTGTAAGACATGCAGTGTTATGGACTGAATATTTGTGTCCCCCCAAAACACTTGTATGTTGGAGCCCCAATCCTAAGTGGATGGTGTTAGGAGGTGAAGCCTTGGGGAGGTGATTAGATTTAGATGAGCTCATGAGGGCGGGACCCTGTGATGGGATTAGTGCCCTTCTAAAAAGAAGAGACACAAGATCTCTCTGTCTGCACACATTCACCAACAAAGGCCCTATAACCAGGAAGAGGGCCCCCACCAAGAACCCAACTGTGCTGGCACCCCAGTCTCAGACTCTCAGACACCAGAACAGCAGGAAAAAGTGTTTCTTATTTAAGCTGCCCGGTCTACGGTGCTTTAAAAAAGCAAACTGAGCTAAGACAGAGGTCACTGGCACTGTTAGGGGAATGACATGAGAGTTAACAATTACACTCCACAATGAATATATATGCTTTACAATGTAAATAAACTAAAACTGAACCTGCATGTAATAGACCAGCACTTCCCAATCCTCCTCACATCCTCGCACATAGAGAAGTATTATTATTTATACGGTGCTCTAGAGTAACATGGTTGCATGGGCTGTCCAGAAGGTGAGAGGATCAACGCCTTAGCCTAACGGAGAGTCTGTGCACAGCACACCACTGTCAGGAGCACAGGGTGGGGGATGCTCTGCATGGCCTTGGATCTTAAGTATCCTAAACCCATTAGCTTTTCAATGTAAAATAAAAATCTGGTCCTCAAAAGTAAGACATTGAAGCCACAAAGAGAAGGCTCTTCTTTATGCCTTCCTGAACATCTAAGGGCAACTGAAATCTATTGAAACCGTAATCGACCCTAAATATGACCTTTGACAAAGCTACCTTACCCGGGAGCACAGGTTTCCACTAGCTGGTTATCCACTCTATTATCCTGGGTGTCCAAAGGCTGGCCAGTAAAGATGGAATACTCCGCTCCTGGTATCAGCCACTTGCGCCTGCTGACGTCGGAGGTGGCCAGTGTGCTAGGAGAGGGAGAAACGATCTGAGGCATGACAGGCTCGTGCTTCAGTTCACACTGAACACATACCGAAAACAACCTGCTTTGTGGTTTTTTGTTTTGTTTTTTTTAAGATTTTATTTATTTATTTGACAGAGAGAGAGAGAGAGCACAAGCAGGGGGAGCAGCAAGCAGTGGGAGAGGGAGAAGCAGGCTCCCCGCGGTGGAGCAGGGAGCCCAACGCGGGGCTCAATCCCAGGACCATGGGATCATGACCTGAGCCGAAGGCAGCCGCTTAACCAACTGAGCCACCCAGGCGCCCCAAACAACCTGCTTTGAAATGGTACGTACACATTTGTACAGTAATGCTAAAACTGCATAAAACAACCTTATTTTAGATATACGAATTCTATTTTATGGTTTGCAGACCCAACCGAACTGTTATTTTAGGTTTCTGTTACTTTGGGCTATTTCTGCATCTCAGTCAAGGTATTCTCCTGTCTACACAGCTCTGAACATCCCCAACTAACTTTCTACCACACTTCCTATGCTTCACGCCCAACCCATAGCTCAGGCCAAGGAGGTGCAGCGAGAGTGCCTTTCTCATTCCTCCCAGACCAGCACTGCCCAGGAGAACTTTCTGTGAGAACAGAAACATCCTCCATCTATCTGTACAGCCCAATACAATAGCCACTAGTCACATGCTGTTGAATTGTGGCTAGTGAGATGAAGAAGCAATCTTTACATGTTATTTAATTTTAATTAACTTAAATGAAATAGCCACACACAGTGACTAGTAGTGTATTGAGTAGTGCAGCTGAAGGCCAGTCCTTCCCGCATCTTATGGACACCCTGCCCAACTCAGGCTCACACATCGTGCATTAACCGGCCCTTTGCTAGACTTCAGAACTGCTGTCACCTTCTCCACACCTGCTCCTGCCCTCCTACTTCAGTGTCCACAGGGAGGAGCTGTCCTGGACCTCTCTCCAATGACTGGACTCGACTCCTGCTCGCTCACCCGCCCCCCCATTGGAGAATACTCACTGGACTTCATCGTCACTAGAGAACACATCCCCTTAAGAAGTCACAACTCCAGGGGAGCCTGGGTGGCTCAGTTGGTTGGGCGACTGCCTTCGGCTCAGGCCATAATCCCGGAGTTCCGGGATCGAGTCCCGCATCGGGTTCCCTGCTCGGCAGGGAGTCTGCTTCTCCCTCTGACCCTACCCCCTCTTATGCTCACTCTCTCGCTCTCTCAAATAAATAAATAAATAAGAAGTCACAACTCAAGATTCTTCTGGCTAAGGTGCTCAAGTATCACCAAGGTACTGTGACCCCGAGGCCTGTGATCCCTGGCCTCACCATTTTCTACTTATCAACCCCTCCCCTAGCTTTTTCAGCTCCCCTCTACCTACTCTGGGGTGCACAGTTACTCACTGCCTTGACCCCCTTTCCGCACTCACCTTCCATCGCCCCCGACTGACGGCAGAGACCTAAGCCTGAGGAACACGGTGGTCTCACTCCCGAGTGTCTACAGTCCTACATCTGGGCTTTGCTGGAAGCAAGCCACCCAACTGTGCAGCCTGGGCTAGCACCAGAGAGTCACCATCACCATCTCAATGGACACCCAACACTGGCTGACAACATACATTTCTGTAATCAACAAGCTCCAGTTCTCCAACAGGACTCCCTTACACCTTTCTCCATTCTCCTTAAACCTCACCCAGCCCTACCGGTCAGCTGATAACCCCGCATCACACTTGGGAAGGAAAAAAGAAACGAGGAGACAAGAGGTGTCTTCCTCTCTCTGCTCCCTTCCACAGCCAAACTTCTTACAACTTCCCTCATTTTCATGTCAACTCCCAGTCGCTCCCTTCCTTTTTCCCCTCGATTTTTAAATTAAGAAACATTCCCCAAACATTCTTGGAAAATTACAAAAACTATTGCAAGCACTCACTTGTACTTAGTTTTAACAAATGCTAACATCTTACCATATTTGTTTTCAACGGTAAGACAGAAGATTCTGCATATAAGGTCATTTGTATTTTTTAAATTATGTCCACATAATGCACACGTCCTTTTAATGCTGCTGTTCCTACTCAACATGTTTCAGATTTCTCCATGTTAACACAGACAGGGGCATCATTTTAATTATTTACCCACAGTACAAATATGCCACACCTTATCTGTCTTTTCTCCTGCTGGTGTTTTAGTTTCTCTGCATCACCTTTCAACAATGCTACAATTAACATGTGTAAGAATTCCTCTGAGGTAAATATCCAAAAACAGAACTGTGGAATTTGGGGTGCACACATCTTCAGTCTTACTGGATATTGCCAAATCACGCTCCAGACAAGCTTATCGATTTTCAGTCCAACCAGCAGTTTGAAGGTTCCTATTTCTTCACATCTTTGCCAAATTTTACAATGATCAGAGCTGGAGTGTGGGCTGGCCTGTCTGATGGTGTGAATGGTATCCCATGCTTGTTTTAATTTGCATTTTTCTGATTACTAGTAAAATGAACATCTTTTCAATTTTATCAGCCATTTAGAGGTTTTTCTGTGAATCATTTGTTCATATTCTTTTATCATTTTTCTATTGAGAATTTTCTTTTTTTTTTTAAAGATTTTATTTATTTGAGAGAGAGCATGAGAGGGGGGAGGGTCAGAGGGAGGAGGAGACTCCCTGCTAAGCAGGGAGCCCGATGAGGGACTTGATTCCAGGACTCCAGGATCACGACCTGAGCCAAAGGCAGTCGCTTAACCAACTGAGCCACCCAGGCGCCCTATTGAGAATTTTTCTTATTGATTTATAGTTCTTTATATCCTGGATACTGCTCCCTTATTGGTTCCTGTTCACTTAAAATATAAAATATTTCAAACATGCACAGACATACAGATTATACTCCTGCACCAACCATCTGCTTATGAACCTTGTATGCTCTATTTCCGCTAAACAGTGGAACACTACAGATACAAGCCAAGTCCCCTGTGTACCTCACACCAATATCGTTCCTCCAATGTCATAACCCTAGTGTAAGTGGTCAGCTACCACTTTCACTAAATTTGTATTCAGCATTCCATACACATTGTTATACTTTTACTACTTCTGTATGAATCTGTAAGATATGTTCTAAATGCTAAAGTCAATATAAATACTATCCTACTTCTTCTGCAACTGGTATTTTGTTGTTCCAAATTATGTTAAGATTAAACCATGTTAGGGGCGCCTGGGTGGCTCAGATGGTTAAGCGTCTGCCTTGGCTCAGGTCATGATCCCAGGGTCCTGGGATCGAGTCCTGCATCGGGCTCCCTGCTCAGCGGAGAGCCTGCTTCTCCCTCTGCTTCTCTCTCTGCTTCTCTCTCTCTCTCTCTGTCTCTCATGAATAAATAAATAAAATCTTAAAAAAAAAAAAAAGATTAAACCATGTTAGGGGTGCCTGGGGGGCGCAGTCAGTTAAGCATCCAACTCTTGGCTTCAGCTCAGGTTGTGAGATCAAGCCCCACATTGGGCTCCGCACTCAGTGTGGAGTCCGCTTGAGATTCTCCCTCTGCCTCTCCCACTCATGCTCTCTAAGTAAATAAATCTTTAAAAAAAAAAAGGTTAAATCATGTTAATGATCAACTTAAGTGGTTGACAAATTTTTCCTACAAAGGGTCAGATAATAAATAGGTTTTTTGTTTTATTTTATTTTAATAGGTTTTATGCACCAGAGGTTTTAATAGGTTTTATCACTGTTTCAAGTACTCAAATTTGCCACTGTAATGCAAAGCAGCCAGACAATAGGTGAATAAATAAATTTTATTTACGGAAACTGAAATTTGAATTTCATATAATTTTTACATGTACGAAATACTATTCTGATTTTTTTCAAACATTTTTTTTTTTAAAGATTTTATTTATTTATTTGACAGAGCGACAGGGAGAGCTGGAACACAAGCAGGAGGAGTGGGAGAGAGAGAAGCAGGCCTCCCGCCGAGCAGGGAGCCCGATGCAGGGCTCGATCCCAGGACACTGAGATGGTGACCTGAACTAAAGGCAGATGCTTAACGACTGAGCCACCCAGGCGCCCCTTTCCAAACATTTAACAATGTAAAAACCACTCTTTGCTCACGGCCCTACAAACACGGGCAGCAGGCTGGACTTGGGCTGGGGCTGTGCTTGCCAATTCCTGATCTAATGTACGCACCGTCACACCACACAGCACCGTACATAAATATATCACAATATATTAATGTCCCAGCCGCTAGACATATAGGCCACTCTCACTCACTCTACACAACCTTCCCAACGGATGTGCACATCCGTTCCTCCACGCAAACCACTCTCCAGGCCATCAAGGCCTGGCTGGCGCACCTAGGGGTCACCAGTCCCCTCAGGTGCTCTCTCGGCAGTGTCTACACCACTGGCCACTTCAGGGTTCCTCCGAGTGCCCTGGCAGCTCTTTCTCAGGTTCTTGTGCCAACTCCTTCTGGCCCCAACATCAAGACATCAGGGCTCCTCAGAGCTTCATCCTACACCAACCTCCCACCACACACCCATCAACTATCCCAGAGTCAAGCACTACAGAATAATTCTAAAATTTGTAACTCCAGCCTAAGACCCTATTTCTGAATTCCAAATGTAAATTTATAATCACCTGCTTGATTCCCACTTGGAATTCGTATGAATCTCAAACTAAAATACTCGAAATGGAAATTCTGATCCTTATCCCATGGTCAGCTCTTCCCATTTCTTCCCTAGTTCAATATATGGCACCCGGAGTCGCTCAAGACAGAAACCAAGGTGTTATCAGACACCTCCCTTTTAATCTCGTCATCTCATTCTTAACCATGTTCGGTGGATTCTAGCTGCAGAATCTCTTGCAGACCCTTCTCTTCTGTCCATTTCTATGGCCAGCACTCAGTGAACACCGTTTCTCCTAACACCACAATCGCCTAATTAGTGTGCCTGCTGCTACGTTTCCTCTCCGTCTTCTCCTGGCAGGTGCATTAAAAATACAGAAATCAGGGGCGCCTGGGTGGCTCCGTCAGTTAAGCTTCCGACCCTTGATCTCAGCTCAGGTCATGAGCTCAGGGTCATAAGATTACACCCCACACTGGGCTCCGCGCTGTGCCTAGAGCCTGCTTAAGATCCTCTCTCTCCCGCGCTCCCTCTGTCCCTCCCACCCTGTTTGCTCGAATTCTCTCTCAAAAAAAAAGAAAAAAAAATCAGATGACCTAATTTTACCACATAAAACCCTTCAAAGGCTTCCCAACAGACTTAGAGTAAAATCCAAACTCTTGACCATCGCTTAGAAAGCGATGTATGACAGTCTATGACTTCATCTGGAGCTAATTCACCCCTTGCTGGCAATATTCAGGTCGCACAAGCTTCCTCCAGGTTCTTTAAAACATGTTAAGCTCTTTCCTACCTATGGACGTAGTAAAGCTCATTTCTCTGCCTGGAACATGCCCCTCCCTCATGCCTCCCACACCAACAACTCAGCACAAGGCTTACCTCCCTGCCTACATAAGTCACCTCCACAGAAAGGCCTTCCCTGACCCCAATCTCACCCCACTCTTGTTGTCTCTCAAATATTCAATTTCAGTAATTTACAAAATTTTTTCTTTAAGTAATTCACTATGTTCTAACTTAAGGTCAACGAACAAAGATCTAGAGAAAGTTTCTCATTTGACAATGACATAGAAAGGTTAAAATTTACAATTTAACAATCTTTCTCATACACATCAATATTATGACCTTATGATCTACTCATTTAATATTCTTTACAAAATCATACTAAAAACCAATCTAATATGAAAAAAACTACTCTATAAATGTATCAAGATAATGCTCTGAGATTATAGCAAAGCTAATTTTGAATAAAAAACTAAAAAGAAAAATTCATACGACAGGTCTGCCCATTAGCGTAGGAATAAAATTTCTGGAATTTTAGGGCTAAAAGATCTTTTGAGATGTTCTAGCTCAATGTCCTTGTTTTTAGAGGTAATAAAATTGAGCTCCAAAAAAAAACTAAGTGATTTGCCTAAGGTCACACAGCTGGGCAGAGTCAACAAAGAAAACATTCCAAGTCTCTTTACACCCAATCTGATTCTATTTCCTCCTTTTGGCAAATGCCCCCACATGAGAGGTTTCATGATATCTAATAATTAGATGGTTTTACTTTTCTGTTTTTTAAGTAAGCTCTGCACCCAACGTGGGGCTCCAACTCACCACCCCAAGATCAAGAGTCGCATGCTCTACTGAGCCCCACCAAGCGCCCCATAATTAGATGCTTTTACACATCTACATTCTATAATGAGATTTAACTCCGACTTCCTTATGACTTAGATGAGCTTCTCAGTTTAATAAAAGGGTGCACTTATTTCTAGCTTTACAGAGATTAAACAAAATAACTTACTTGGCACGTGAGGATCTCATGGGAGTTTTAGAACTATGGCGAAGACTTAACATATTTTCATGCTCTACTTGCTTGACCTGAGCTTCAAGTTTTGAAATTGTTCTAATTCAAAAGTAAAAAGAGAAATTAAGTACACAATTTAAAATATAGCTCAACTACAAATTACTTACTTAACAGACGCTTCTAGAAAAGGGGTGACAGAAGAACCACTGGTCTGTAAGCCTTTTTCTTTCTTTTTTTTTTTTTTAAAGATTTTATTTATTTATTTGAGAGAGAGAGAATGAGAGACAGAGAGCACGAGAGGGAAGAGGGTCAGAGGGAGAAGCAGACTCCCCGCTGAGCAGGGAGCCCGATGCGGGACTCGATCCCGGGACTCCAGGATCATGACCTGAGCCGAAGGCAGTCGCTCAACCAACTGAGCCACCCAGGCGCCCTGTAAGCCTTTTTCATAATAAAATGCCACCAGTAAGCATAAAAGCTGAGCAAGATTGAAACATAAACTGAAAGGCAAGTACCTTAAACTCTACAAAGAAACACACCATATACTACAATTGAAGGACAAGGAAACAACAAATGGACTTTATATAAACAAATTAAAAAAATTTATACATTTGACTACAGATCAAAACACAGTATAAATTAAATTAAAAAATAAAATAAATTCAAGGATTCAGATAAATTGCAATTCTAATGTTTAATTCTAAACAGATATATTCACACATATAAAATATACATAGGTAATGTTTTCACAAAAAAGGTTTAATATCCAATAAAAGAGCTAGTAAGAACTTCCTAATTTTTAAAAGACACAGAGGCTAAACTATCTTGAAAACTGTCTACAGACAACTCACTTCATCTGTGCCATGTTCAGAATAAAAGCCTACTTTCAAGTTTACGAACAGAAAATAGGACTCTGGCCAATTAATTGCTTTGAGGTTATCTTGGCATTCTTTCTGTTCTTTTAAACTGTGCATATGTCTTCGTCTCATCTTTTAAGCTCAAATTCTTGCCTACCCTGATGCAAGGAAGGTTTGAGAAAGAATAGCTCTAACAGGCTGACGCTTTATGCCAATCTGATAAGGAAGCTATCAGCAGAACTGAATGCATCACAGAAAAGACCTGAGCAGATGAGAAGGCCGGACAGTGTTCATGTTCTCTCCAAAGGAAGTCATGAGGAGTGCAGTAAAATCTCCAAATAAGGGACACATCTCCAAATACAAATACAAAAACATGCTCCAAAGCCAATTAGAAATATCTAATCATTTGCATAATGAAACACATAATGTCTCAGGAAATGCACACTCCTCAAACACAACCACCAATATACTCTAATCGTTTAAAAATCTTCTTCAGCTATGGGGCACCCAGGTAGCTCAGTTGTTCAGTGTCTGCCTTCGGCTCAGGTCATGATCCCAGGGTCCTGGGATTGAGCCCTGCATTGGGCTCCCTGCTCGGAGGGAAGCCTGCTTCTCCCTCTCCCACTCCCCCTGCTTATGTTCCCTCTCTCACTGTGTGTCTCTGTCAAATAAAAAAAAAAATCTTCGGCTAAAATCAAATGTATTTCCAGGTCAGGGGAAGATTAGGATAAAACCTGATCTCAAAGTGCCTAAAAATCCTCAAGAAAAACTTTCTTTTCATTGCTTTCAGTACAGACACATACTTAAATGCTAAAAGAACAATAGAGGCATAATTATCTCATTAGTAAGAGAATACATTTTACCTTTTCAAATCAGAAATCTGAGTATGTGCATCAAGCAATTTGTTCTCAGTTGTATTTAATATATCCTATGAAGATAAAGGAAAAATTCGATAACTGAAATATTCAGAATATATTCATTTTAAAATACATAATATGAAACCAATCTAAGACTACACCAGAGAGCTACAAAAAAAATTATGCAGATACTTAGCAAATATAGCATCAACCACGAGCCAGTATATAATTCAAGGGAAAAACTGAGAGAACAAAACACTGGTTTATACAAAGAGCCGTACATATATCCCCTGTAATAACAGGTATAGCTTATTAAGCTTTGCTTGATTACAAGTAATCCAGTGTGAAAATGGACATGTTTTAGCCACAGCTTGCCCAAAAACCTCAGTAAATGGCAAAACAGATACCTGTGCTGGTGAGATTTCAGATGTCCTGACCGGCTCCTGAGCCCCCAGAACACCTCCCTGCCTTCCTCTAACCCTGAATGACCACAACCCTGTATCCTATGCAACAGAAATACTTTGGACCCCACTTACAGCATCACTGTGGGGTTTCACTGAATTCAAATATGTAGTTCCCAAAGCTTCCATTAAGAAATCAAACATAATCAATAAATTCAACACCACAAAAAGCAAATGCTTTAAAAAACTTTGTATTTAAATAATTATTTACATGTATATCATACCTTATACTCTTCTAAAAATTTCATCTCAACTCATCTCAAATGCAATAGCCATTCAATATTTGTTAACACAGATCTGAAAATTTATGACTTAAGTGGGCAAATATTTGAAAATAAGGATATTGACAGAGAAGATGAAGCGACTGGTCTAACTCAAGCAGCTAAATGGGGATGGAGGATGGGGACAACAGAGGGGGTTATATAAAGGGTCAGCCCTCTTCATTTCCAACCCAGTGCTTCTGCCCCTCCATGAAGCTCAGAACATGAATGATCAACCATTACCTTTACTCTTTCGTGTTCTTTTCCAAGGGACTCATATTCTCCTAAGAGCTACAAGGAAAAACAAATGTACCACATAATTAAACATTATAATATCAACTCAGAGATCGTCTATAAAATAGCTGTCCATACTCTTCAAATATGCTAAGGTCTTGAAACAGAAAGGTTAACACTCTGTTCCAGATTGAAGGTGACTAAAGGCATAAGAGGAGTGAATATAAGGCATGATTCTGGGTTGGATCCTGAAACTGGAAAAAAAAGTGCCATAAAATAATAATTTAGATGTGAATTGCACATTTGATTTCTTTACTTTGATTTGTCTGTGACTATGTATGGAAGGCCCTTGTTCTTAGGAAATACATACCAAAATGTAGGGGTGAAGGGGCATAATGTCCACAACTTACTCTCAAATGGTTCAAGAAAAAAAAATGCGTATGTGAACGAACATATATATACAGGAGGTGATAAAGCAAATATGGCAAAATGTTAACAACTCTGATCCTAGGTAAAAGGAATAGGACCACTCTTACAAGTTTTCCGTAAGTTTGAATTTTTTCAAAATAAAAACAAAATATATAGTATCAGTCAAGACCCTTTAAGTAAGCAGTATTTTGAAAGATTAAAATTTGCATTCTTTTTTGAATTGTATACTTCTTTTTTATAAATTCCACAGAGTAAAGGCAACATCCCAAGTCTAATATACTTAGGTAATTTCCTTAAAAATACATATATGTGAGACTTATTAAAGACAGGGTCAAAGAATTTTCTTTTTATCCCAAGATCCCACTAAAGTAACAATGAGGCAGTTACAGAGAAATCAAGAGTTGAGTGCAACAAAGGAGAGATCTCAATGAAGATGCAACAAGGTAGAGGAGCTATAAGTTTCAGTGCCTGTAAATGGGATGCTAACGGTGAGCAGGCTGGTATCTTCAGAACCCGGAGAGGCTCAGGACTTGAATCTCAGGTTCAGTAGTAGGCAGGGTGGAAGCACAGGCTGACCAAAGGGAGCTGGTTAAAAGTCCTTAACTGAGTGGCTAGAGCCTAGGACAGCAGTGGACAGCCCCAGCCAGGCGACAGGACACAGGAAATGTGAATGAGAGACGAATGCCACGTGGGGAACCCAAGTCTAACAAGCGGAGGAAGCAAAGGGATAAGGAGATGATGATTAAGGAAAAGTTTAAAACAAACAAAAAAAAACAACTTGGCTCCCCATCCCTCACTGCCACCAGAGCATGACAAGAGACTGGGAGACTCTTCTTTGGGTAAACCAAACAATCCCAGAAAATAGACTTCTACATACTCACATCTGGAGGTTCCCTAACCAAACGGCTGGTCCGTCACTCCATGACTGCTTATACGGAAAGGCTACGAGGCTACTAGGAAATAGGCCCCGTCTGTGCACACAGAGTCTCCAAATGGCTTTTGACTGCCTCCCCCTTAAATGTGAGTCTACAGTAAAAGAAACAACACTTTTTTTTTTAAAAAAAAGCAAAAACATCCACTATGAAGCTGACTTCAAAATGAAAGGTTAACTCAGAAAAAATAATAAATCAAAACTAAAGAAAGCATTTAAAAAGCTATTAATATCCTCAGAGAAATCAGGGTTATATTCATAAAACAAGACCAGAAAGCAATGAAAAACTAGCAACTGAAGAACAAGAAACAGCTCTTAGAAGCTAGAAATGAGAGCAAAAATAAATGTAATACTAAGACAAGGAGATAAAGAACAGAGAGGCCATGATGGAAACTAAAGCACACAAAAGTCTTAGAAAATCAACCCATGCAATACAATATCTACTGGCAAAAGTTCCAGAGAAAGAGAACAGAGAAGGAAGGAAGGAAATCAACAGAGAAATAACATTAGCAAGTCTATAGAACCAAAGGACATTAATTTCCAGATTGGAAGAATCTGTGCCTCCAACAATGAATGAAAAAAGACTTGTATCAAGACATATAATGTTATGGAATTTAAGGGTACCAAGGATAAGATGCTAAAACTTTCAGAAGGAGCTTTGAACTCATTTATAAGGAATGAGAAACGCACTTACTAAACGCAATGTGTGGTCCTTGATTGGAGTGTGAATTAAAAAGCAAAAACCAAAACATCTATGACAGACATTATTTAGACAACTGGGGAAATTTGAACACAGACTGTATATTAGATGCTAGTATTGCATCAATATTAAATTCCCCGAGCGTGAGAACTGTGTTGAGATTTTGTAGGAGAACATCCTTGTTCTGAGGAGACACCTGTTGAAGTATTTAGGAGTGAAATCTCAGTGTCTGTAATAATTCACTCCCAAATTGTTCGGCGAAAGGAAAAAAATCTATAATGTTGTGAAGACATAAAGCAAATGTGGTAAAACATTCACAATTGGTGAACTAGACAAGGAATATACAGAGGTTTTCGTCATACCATCTGTACCATTTTTCTGTAGGCTTAAAGCTTTCAAAATAAGAGAGATGGGGGGAAAGGAGAAAACACAAAAGACACAGGATTGGGACAGGGGGAGAAAGGAAGAGAATTCAGTCATCAGGTATATCCTCATGGCAACATAAGCAATGGGACAAAATCTTTAAGAATCTGATGGGAAGAAAATATACCCTAGAATTCTATACTCTTAGCCAAATGACATGTGAAGGACCTAAATCTTTATCCATGATAATTATGGATAATGTTAAAAATTCAAGAAATAGGGGCGCCTGGCTGGCTCAGTTGGAAGAGCTTAACGACGAGGCACCCCTGCTTTGTTGTTTTCTTTTGAAGTAATCTTTTCACCCAGGTGGGGCCTGAACTCAAAACCCTGAGATCAAGAATCACATGCTCCACCAACTGAGTCAGCCAGGTGCTCCAAACGCATTTTTTTTTTTTATAAAATGTGATAAGCCAACAGTAATATTTACATGAAATAAAATGGCAAAAATAATTTTTAAAAGATAAAAAAAAAGTTAAGGAAGCAGTACACCAAAAATCAAAGCTCCTTATAAAATGCTAATAATTAAGATGATGTAGTTTCCTTTCAGGGACAAATAAACCAGCAAAACAAACTAGGGAAGCCCAAAATGGACTCATCCAGGAAAGCAACCTAATATACAACAGAAGTGGCATTAGAAGTCAGTAGGGAAAAAAATACTCTATTAAAAAATGGTGCCATCAGGGAAGCCTGGCTGGCTCAATCAGTGGAGCGTGCAGTTCTCAATGCTGGGGTCGTGAGTTCAGGCCCCACACTGGGTGCAGAGATTGCTTAAATAAATGAACTTTTTAAAAAAATGGTGCTGTGACACTTGGTTAATCGTTTGAAAAAACAACCAAGTTCAATCCCTATCTCACACCACACATAAGAGGCAATCTGGGGGTAGATTAAAGGCCTAAATGTGTAAAGAAAGGCTGTATAATTTTGGAAGGCAATATACAGGATAGTAATTTTCTGATCCTTGAGTAGGAAAAGATTTTGTACACAAGACATAAAAGAGGCCCAAACCAGAAATGAAAAGACTGCATTTTGGACATCAAAATACAAAACTTGGGGGCACTTGGCTGGCTCAGTCAGTTAAGCGTCTGCCTTACACTCCGGTCATGATCTCAGGGTCCTGGGATGGAGCCCCACGTTGGCTTCCTGCTCAGCAGGGAGCCTGCTTCTCCCTCTCCCTCTGCCCCTCCACCCGTGCTCTCACTCCCTCTCTCAAATAAATAAATAAAATCTTAAAAAAATAAAATAAAATACAAAACTTGTATCCCACAAAAGATAACACCAGGTGAAATGCAAGCCACAAGCCAAGGGAAGAGAACTGCAATACATATTAACCATTTCACATCAATCAGACTGGCAAAAATTAAGAGGTCTGACAATAGCAAGCATTGGAAATAATCTAGAAAATAAGAATTCTCATACATTACTGGTGGGAAAATGAACTGGTAAAACCACTTCAGAGAGCAATTTAGCAATATCTAACGAAGATGACTGTTCATATTCTAAGTCCCAGCCACTACACACAGACGTACCTAGGTTCAGGGGACAGACTGTGTATCCCCAAAATGGCAGCAACAATATCTGCTCAGTCTTCCAGAACCTTGCCACACCCATCAAGAGGTGGTATCTCTTTCTTCTTCCCTTGAACCTGGGCAGGCCTTTGAGATTATTTAAACAAATGGAATGTTGGGGTGCCTGGGTGGCTCAGGTCATGATCCCAGGGTCCTGGGATCGAGCCCCGCAATCGCATTGGGCTCCCTGCTCCGCGGGAAGCCTGCTTCTCCCTCTCCCACTCCCCCTGCTTGTGTTCCCTCTCTCGCCGTGTCTCTCTCTGTCAAATAAATAAAATCTTTAAAAGAAAAAAAAAGCAAGAAAAAGAAACTGACAAAAGGAAAATAGATAACTGTGGAAGATTCAGAGTGGACTACTACACAAGGATGAGAACAAGTGAACTAGTGCTAATGCATCTGCTTGAATAGATCTTACCAATGAAAAAAGTTGCAGAATAGTAAAAACAGTGTGACAGCACTTATAAAAAGCTCTACAATATGCCAAATAAAACTGATTAAGCATACAGCACATGTAAGACACAGACATGGGAAGACATTCACACTGTTCAGATCAGTCACTCCCAGGAAGGCAGGGGTGAGCAGAAATGGGTACATGGGGGGTGGGGGGTGGGGGGCTTCAACTGTATCTGTTGTATTTTAAATCTGAAGATGAGTGGTGGGTCCACATGTAATATTCTTTTCATATACCTGAAAAACTTCAAATATGTTTAAATAAAAATGAATAAAAGCTGCATGTATCAACATGGTAAATCTCAGAAACAATACTATGGAAAAACAGGTTGCAGGAGGGGCACCTGGCTGGCTCACTGGGTAGAGCCTGTGACTCTTTATTTTGGGGTCATGAGTTCGAGCCCCATTTTGGGCATGGAACCTACTTAAAAAAAAAAAAAGGTTGCAGGAAAGTATATGTGGTACAATACAATTCATATACAGTTTAAGGACACATCAGACATCACTATATATTGTTTACAGACACATGCGTATGGAGCAAAAGTAGAAATGCAAGGGG